CTGCTGGAGACGCTGTTCTTAATGCACCCCAGGATCCCATTGGCCTTCTTGGCCACGAGGGCACACTGCTGCCTCATGGTCAACTTATCATCTACCATGACACCCATGTCCCTCTCTGCAGAGCTGCTCTCCAGAAGGTCAGTCCCCAGCCTGTACTGGTGTCTGGGGTTATTCCTCCCCAGGTGCAGGACCTTGCACTTAGCCTTGTTGAATTTCATGAGGTTTTTCACCGCCCAGTTGTCCAGTCTGTCCAGGTCCCCCTGGATGGCAGCGCAGCCCTCTGGGGTATCAGCTACTCCTCCCAGTTTGGTATGATCAGCAAACTTGCTGAGGGAGCACTCTGTGCCTTCATCCAGGTCATTGATGAATAAATAAATAAATAAATAAATTTTAACCGAAGTGCATTATGTCCCTTTCCACATTGTCCTTTTAAAAAGTGAAATGTCTCTTTTGAACACCGAATTCACTGGGCATTTGATACATCAATAGGTACTGTGAGCACAAAATATTATGTCTATATGCTATTATGTAGGACATTAGGGGTGAGAAGGTAGCTCAAGCATTTAAAAATACTAAATTGTCTAAATTTAAAATATCAATTGTTTAAGCTTAAGGCTTAGTTTTCTGTTGTTTGTAAGTTTTCCAAATACTGACGGTTTGTGATCAACCATTTTGTAATGTGTAATGCCTGTGATTGCTTGACTGTAAACACTGCAGTGTATACTTTTTCATCCATAAAATATAGATATCCAGATAATACAGTTGATATGTAGATTTGTCATGCATCTCGGTTAGACTCATTATTCCTATTACTAAAATGCTTTTTGTACGATCCTATTGCAGTTCCACACAATTATATACGAATGCCAGATATTAGTGTTAATAAAAGGAACCTGTTTTCTTGAGGATTGGGTGCTAAAATTGAGTCTCTATTTCTGGACTATCGTAATGCCGCACTAGTAACAATAATAATAAAAATAAACTTGCTTCCTTTTAGTACTTGTAACCACAAACACAAAGAAGTGTGTGTGACTTTAACTTGGAGGAGGGAGTGGTAGAGAATTTAACATCATGTTTGTGCCTTTGAAAGTATTTTTGATCATAGATGACGACCTTTTTGCCCTATAGCTCTCCTGTGAATACATTTTGGCTTGTGGCTGTTTTCTGTTCCTGAGGCTGAAGAGCTTTTACTTCAGGCCTGAGTACATTATTTTGCTCAGAAAATAGGTTGATGAAGAGAGGGGGAGAAATGTCATTAGGAGTTTAACTGCCTTTCTAAGACTGGAAAAATTAATTGCATTTGGCAAGAACCTTGATTAATATGCATTGCAAGCTGTAGTATGGAAGAATTACCTGTTATGACATAAAAATAACTGAGTGACCCTTTTGAATCGGAAATGAGGAATCTGGGGAAAAAATAACCTTCAGAAAAATGTTACTTGCATCTGTACATGACCGTTTCTTCCTAGGGGAAGCTCTGTCTGTGCCCTGACAACACAGTCCTAGAAGGTGTCAGTCCTCCACTTTCTGCAAGCAGCAAACATTTCGGGGCCATATGAATAGATTTTTGCCAGTGATGACTAATATTCAGATGCAGATTATGGTGATTTCTAAGTCATCGCTAGAAGTATGGGAGCTAATAAGAAAAATCTAGATATCTTCCATCCACGAAACCCAGGCAGCGAACGTTTATTTAGTGCGTCTCTGGTTCATGTTGCAGCTCTTCAGCAGCGATGGCTGTTGCCGCCAAGGCAACTCTTTTAAGCAGATATCCAGGTAAAAGCTGACTTAGGTGCCAAGAGGATGAAAATAGTTTTCCGTGTAGCGGGTTACATTATGGTTTTCTTATTCGTTTCAGCATTAGATTCATCCAAGAGTAAGCAGAGACTATGGACATGCTTTACATGCATAATTAATCATACATCCCATAGGAAAAGGACTGCTGTTGTCATTTTCTAAGCATGAAGAAGACATAAACTTGATTCAGAATTGATTTCCGGAGAAGTGTGTTCCTTTAGTTCAATAATAATATTAAATAGAATGATATAATATCATATTATTGTTTGTGCACAGTAAGAGAAAATATAGTATAGACATAAGTACACAAAGAATGGAAGATCACGTGTCAGTTGGATAGCAAAATTACTTTGCTACCCGATAGGCAGTGCAGTGTGTACTCTGTACTACTGTACCTCAACCTGTAGGATGTAAGAGTGCAGCAAACATGTCGGTGAGGAGTAATGGAGATCAAACAGCATTAAATATAGATAGTCTAAATATGGATTAACAAAATATATGCATTTTTCAACCCTGCAAAAAGTTAATTCTTCCTGGAATGAATATTGAATTTCTAGTCAGTTATGATATTCTCTGCGACAGAAAAAGCATGTTTGTTAGAATCTCCATTAGTCTTTCCTGATGAGTGTTACTGGGAATAGCAATAGACTTTTTTCCCCATCATGCTTTAAGATTTGCTGCAGCAAACGTGCTGGTCTTAACCTGTCAAAATACTTGTGAATAAGCTCAATTAATTATATGTACACTCTGCTGAAGCAAACTGGGTTGCTTTGATCACTGATGGAAGCCAGAGAGATGATGCCATGGGAGACCAGACATTTCTTGACCAGAGTGACCATTGCAATCCCATGTGCTGTATTCAGAATAGTAGCGCTTCTGTCACAGGCTGTAGGCAGAACACAAAGAAATAAAATAGTTGATTTACTTCTGTCTAGGTCTGGTCATTTGGTCAAGCAGATTATTTGATTTGCCTCAGTTGTTATGAGTCCTGCTCTGAGTTGGCACTTGTTGAAAAATATTTAGAGCTTTATACTGTATTTATTTGGGGACAAAATTAAAACAATGGAGAACATTTTTGAAAGGACAGGGCCAGGTATGTTTTGATATGAATGAGCAATAAGTAATGAACTCTAGACATCAAAACAAAGATTGATCTAGATATCTTTTGATTTATCATTATGTACTTCCCTCTATTCATCTCCTAAATTCATCT